GTAACCAATTTTATATTAATTTTTAGAAAACGAATTAGCGGCCCTTTACACTACTCCTCCAATCTAAACTTTGAATTGTTATAATTTATAAACGGTAAATCCGATATGAGTGTTATGCATATTAACATTTTTTAAAAAATATTCTCTATTTGAACGAGTGTTTAAAACGGTGACTGGTATTTGAATATTAAAAGTGTATACACAATTCAGGGATAAGTAGTGATAAAAATCGAAAATACTATTAAAATAAAGCGTTATGAAACGCAATTTTCACTACAGGAAAGTGGCAAAACCCAAAATCGCTTTTTTGAGTTACTACAGCAATTGCATTACCGTTTTGATAGTGCGAATTATATAGATCAGGTATATTATGTTATTCCGTGAAACAATCGAAAACAATAATGCGGCGGTGAGGTGTTAACTGCTACAGGCCGACCGGCTCCGGGACTGCTGCCGATAGTAACCGGATGACCCGACCGGACCGGCACGCCAAACCGACCGGACGTAATATTCTACCACCACCCCTGATAGCAGTCAATCCCTCTGTGCAAAACGATAATGGACGCTGTCGGGGAAATTTCGCTTTTGTTGTACGAGCTCCGCTGTTGTTATTATTATTATTACACTATAATATTATTGATGCCGCTGTTATAACAATATTATAACATACATAGATATTATTATTATTACGGTCCATACGTGTATGTGTATATGTGTGTGTGTATCTGTATTACGGATGGATTTTAGGATATGGATAGATCGCGTATTATTTGCACGTGTTTCCGGTTTCGACGCAAAATATTCTATACCTTCGCTATACACGTAACTTCCCCAAAAGGCCGGGAAGGGCGCATCGTATCGCATCCATACCACCGTCACGTCATCATAATATTATTATTGTTGTTTACGGTCGAACAAAGTCCGTTAGGGGGGGGTGTTGGGGTAGTGGAGCAGAGCAAAGGTCGAAACGGTATTTCAAAATATTCGTGAGGACGGACGTCTGATAATTTTGACGGAAGTAACAAACGCCTCCGTCATCGCTTCGCGCACATGGCACCTTCTGTTTACTCGTAAATCATATTTTCGACGATAGTAACAAATAAATGTAATAAATGTTAATTAATAATATAGTAATTATATTATTAGAATATTAAATCCAATAGAAACAAACGTTTAAAATAAATCTTTGAAAATCATTTAAAAGAAAACTATATGACGTATAAAGATAGATTTTTAAAAAATTATTATACTGAAATTAATTAAATCTCTTAAAAAGCATTAAAAAAAAGCCAGCCATAATTTACCCGATAGGTGACCTCTGTTGTAGTTAGGAAGTTGGGAAAGTATATTAGGATTATAATAGATATAGCGTACCTATATTAACGACGCAGTTGTTTTTATAATACTATGTAAACTTGATTTTTGAAATCCTTAAAAAAGAAATAATAATTTCTTAAAAGATAAACACAAAATAATCTTTATACAATATTATTATTATAATAAAATATGCAATTTTAAGGAACGCGGTCGAAATCATAGAAGTTTTGATATCTATGATAAAGTTTTCAGAAAAATCTAAAATATTGCGTTCCATCAATATTAGTGTTGCAAACTTAATTAACTTTATACAGCAATAAGTATTCGAAATTAAAGTGTCAATAAATAAAAAACACCGCAGTGAAAGAAACGCGTATATCATTTTATTCATTTCTTGTAAACAAATTTATTTATTTGTTACATACCCGAAGTTTCTTGTATTGCTTTTTATGAGAAAATAAGACGTTTGAAATCCGTCCAATATGTTTTAATATTATTATTTTTTATCTTTCCAGATTTATGGGAAAATATTTACCTGAGATGAAAAATTAAACTATTTAGAATATAGATAAATATTTTTAAATTGTAATTAAAATATTGATTAGAAATAACGGGAAAAGTAATTAGGCAATTAATAATTATTGAATTATATCAACTACACACCCTTTTTGAAATCTAAATGTCTATACAGCTAAATTACCATATCATATCGTACAATATTATTATCTGTCCATAAAAACTAATTTATTTGATAGGCATTAAAAAACAATATCTTTTTTTTATTTAAATATAAATTTGTAGGCCATTTATTTCCATCTATATTATCTAGAGTTTAAAATTTAAGACGTAAGTGTTCTGAATTTTACATTAGACGTAGTCATGTTATCGCGGCAATTTTATCGTGATTCTTAGGTTGTAAAACAGTTTTACGTACGATACTATAGATGTAGGTAATTATTTATAAATTGAATATAATTTTAATTGACGTTCGAGTTTTGATGATTTCGAGTATGAAACGTATTATAGTTAATAATTATCGTTGCAGCGACGTGACAATACTCCGGAGTAGTATTTGACCGAAAGAACATTACAGAGGTTCTGGCAATTATTATTTTATTATTAGATAATTCTCATAATAATTGGTTGAAGTATGTAATATGTTTCCCGAACTCTGAAATCTCCAGTTTGATACGTCACACGTGACTTTTGAGACAGTTGATTATGATTACCTACCTATACACACCTATAATAATAGGACGAATTTGAAATATTGTATTATTGTTCTTGTTCGTTTCTCTCGTTGTCAGATTTATTTTATCTTTTTACTATTAGCTACAGTAATATTTTTCGATAGAATTATTATTTATCGACAATTTACTGTGACAAATACGTACAGCCATAACTGTCAACCATTTTTCTTACGGTAATATGCGAATTTCGATTAGGTAAGTGTTATGTACAAAACTATTGATGCGAAGCTGAGAAATGTATTGGATAATATTAACTGTAGTTAAGTTCATTTTTTGTTGGTAAAATAATTGTAATTGTTATAGTGAAAAAAATTAAACCTAGAACTTGTAATTTGTTGAAAAAAAATCCAATGAATTAATAATATAATTCTTCGTAGAAATCATAATAAAAGCATAAAACAGCGCTAATACTCAAATGTAGCAAAATAGCATCAAAATGTTACATTTTTAAAAATCTGGTGCCTATGAATGTAACTAGAATATACATTTTTTTAAACACTTTCTATGGGAACATATAAACGGTAGCGTAGAGGTGTCTGATTAATTATTATTTATTAATGATTAAAAATTATTTAATGCACAGTTATTTGCGGGTTAATTATAGTGTGGTTACCAATTACACCTATACGTCCTTTGAATTCTGAATGCATGTCAAAATTATTTCAAGTCTTGTCATCGTAATAATCATTTTAAAATGCTTTATCGGATTTCGCAAATAATCGTATTTCGTTATTAATGACTTATCATTGCGATCAGATATATATTTAAAACTATATTTGTATCTTAACATTTAACTGTCCCCTATAATAGCGACACACCTATCAGCAGTATTAACTCTTTGTTTCGTATGGCTTTTTATACATTGACTGGGAGTAAACCCGAGCATTTATAATATAGTGATAGCAGAATTTCGAACTATCGTCATGTTTCGGTGGTAACAGTTTTTGCTAGAAAAATTATACGGGGATACAAAACAAAAACACGGTTTATCTCGTCGTCGGTGTGGTTACTGGTTAGTGGTTTTTAAACCTGGATCAAATTGAACAGTCCGAGTACGACGAAGACGTGTTGACACGGTATTTTCTCGTACTTATCGCGTCGTCTTATTATAATATCTCCGGCGCCGGTTTTGTCACGGCAGTTTTACCAGCTCCAGGCCAAAATACGCCCAAATCACAATGTATTATAATAATAATAATAATAAATATATACTTAGGTACACGACGAACACGATCGTAACACGCGTTTATACGAGTGTATATATATTATACATAATACCTATATATATATATACTGTTCGTAATGCGTCTGCTGCCGGCGGCCACTTTTCGGTACATCCAGTCTAATATTTTGATGCTATGTAGATATACGCGCAATATTATATTGTATTTCGCCGTGTGATCCTTCGCTATACTATTATTATTATTAGAATAATATTACGAGACCGATGAGACATGATAGACGAATTTTCCGTCGGCAGAAAACGTGTATTATAATGCGTGCAGTGACATCGAAGGAATACATTAATATAATACTATATCATATTATCATTTGAGCGTTAACAATTATTTAAATAAGAAGTGGCTGACAGTGATGAGCGCATTAGACGATATGAGTGAACCCCTCCTTCTCTATTTGCTTAAAAATACAACCACCAAGATTTATTGTGTAATTTTTGAATGAAATTATTAATGAAGTTATTTAGTTAAAAATTGACTTTTTGAATCCGATTTTCAATTGCTCATTGTCGAGTTCGCTATAGAAAAAAAAGATTCATGAATCATGACTATTATTTACTATATTCCCTTCAACTGTAAATTCCTAGATACGCCACTAGAGGGAGAGGGAAAGAGTGGACGAAGCTCCTCTACTATTTGTGTTTTATTATTTTTATCCGTTAATAATTATTTCTATCGAGACGAAGGGACGATACGAATCTATTCTAATGACAATAGTTTCAAATCACGCGTATCATCATTTCATTAAGATGATTGTAATTCGTTTAAATTCTGGGCGTATATCGGTGTCACATATATCACTTTTTTATTAGGAATCTTGTTCTAATCATTAACATCATGATTGGTTTTCGGTAAAAAAACTTGTCTAATTTGTTGTGATTATTGTGATTAAACATATTAGTACTTTTTAGACGTGGTACAATTTTTAAAATGTTTATTTTTTTTTGTTGTATTTGTATACAATAAATTCTTTAACTTTGTTTAACTCAAGTGTTATAAGAGATGCTACTATTTTTTAAGTTTTATGGTTTTTTCATATTTTTTTAAAATTAAGCACCGTTAGACTACATTTTTTAATTTAGCGATAAACAATTCAATACGTAGGAAGTCCAGTACTGTAGAGAATTATACTTAATTGTTTATTTAATTTTTCGGTAGGTATAGTTTCAAAAATCTCGTAAAAAATGATATTTTTAACTCTGCGAAGAAGACGTGTGTTATTATTATTTAAATTTTGTGTTCAAATTGAAAATATAGTAAACTATCTACCACTTAATTCTGCACTACCGATTTAAACGGAGCGAGACGAGTGCCCATCTTTAGAGATAAGCTTGAGTTTATACTGTCGTCCAATTTTCAAGGCAACGAACTGACAAATTCGAAAAACGACTAAAGCTCTAAGGCTCTATTACCTTTGTTAAATCACGCGTAAATAAAACTACCTACTGAATGAAACATATTTTGAGCATGTTCGCACGAAAGTAAATACCTTTGATATCGTGTAAAACAAAAAGACACACACACACATACACACTAACACACACACACACACACACTAGTACTTTAGTCAAAATTTAAATTCGTTAAATGTAGGTATAGTAATTTTCTCTAATTCGGCAATAATGTATTTAGAATATGGTTTTTAGGTTTTTTTTCCTCCTCACAATTTTTATTCTAGTATTTATATTATATTATATTGTAAATTTGTGTTTAAATTTTCGATTTTATCGGTGGCCATTTTCACCAACTACCACTCGTTTGTTTGTCGTTGCGATCATTGTGCCGTTTAAAAAATAAACACCAACGGCGTGCGTGTTCTACCAAAAGTATAGTCTAGAAAAGAATACTTATAGTGAGCTATAGTATAGTGACAAAAGCGATGTGGCGGGTAGTGGACGTGTTTGTATACATACACAGCTCTACATTCGAATACTAACGGATTTTTTCTCTTTTAAACAAACATCGAATTGTTTTGTTTGCACACGATGTTGACGGTGGTGGCTTGTGTTATTATAGTATATGAATAAAACAAAAAAAATACCAGTAATACACCGCATTACGAGTGATTTGTGACAGCCAGAAATATACTAATGTTATGTACTTATATACCTAATATACATTATTATAAATACTGTAGTATACAATAATATATAATACGTTTTTTGAGCGATTTTAGTGAAAACATCAAAAGTTCTTAATATACCAAAATTAATTTCATTATACAGAGCTATTTTAATGTTTAGTCGTTAACTTCTTTTTTTGGTACCGTGGAAATAGGCCGCTTTTTATTCTTTGCGTGTCGGCCAGTGATATTTAAACTTAAGATTCCATTCTTTTTACAGAAATCAGCAATTTGAATTGCGTCGTCTTTTAATTGTTTTCCGAAAAAATCTTGTAAGAGGTATAAAATAAATCCTGTAATACAATATATAATAATATATTGGATATTCCATTAAATGGCTCGATGTTTGCACATTACCGCACTCGTAGCACACTGGTCTCCGTTTACGCGTTTTCTTTTGTCCTTCTCATATCCGATGGTATTTTGTTGGAAGTATGCTTAAACAGTTTTACTTAATAAAATAGGTATAGTAACATTATGGATGAAGCTTTAATTAGATACAGATTATTAAAATGGTACTATATTTTAAGTACTTAATTAAGAGGAGGTTTATCAATATTATAAATGTATTGAAAATAATAATATAATTAGAAAGAAAAAAGTACGGCAAGTATTTAAGTTCCTACCTGTCCGAGTATTTTAATTTTTAATCCTAAGAATCCTCTTCGTGAATCCGTTACAAAATCATTAACTGCGATATATTTTGTTCAAATATTACGAGTATACGACAGTGTCGACACCATAACCACATACCGATATCTATATATCATTATACATAGTCTCATTTTTTTTCGTCACGCGAATTATTGAACACTGTATATTTTTCGACAATATAATAACATGTATATATACGGTTATGAATACTACTCCTTGTTTTACTTAAGCATTATTATTATTTGATTGACTAAATTATTTTTTCTTCGTTAAAAATATAATAATAATATGATATTCTGTATGTATATCGGTAAACGTTATAAAAATTGTACGTTGCCGATCTTTATTATTAACGGTATACCTATATCGTTATTTTTTTTCATAAATCGCGTTAGATAAAATATAATATAGACGCGTTTATGATTTTTGCGGGTGGTATTATAACTTTTCACGTTTTAACCTATTTAAATTTAAATATTTTAAACTTAATAAAATACTTTTTGCATGGTTACCCGAAAATATTATGTAAATACTACCTACCTACGTATATAAACCTTTGGAATAAAAATAATATAAAATAAACGATTTTTGTTACGTTGCATATCGGAGAGAGGAAAAAAAAAAATGAAAAACGCATTTCAAACAAAAATATATAGTTTTCAAAAATAAAAAAAACCATACTTATATTGACTTTAATATATACGTACACTACACAGAATAAAGAAGAAATTTCACGTGTATGGCTTTAGAGTGTTAACACGAGAACGAAAAGTTCGTATGTATATACATGTATACCGCACGTCTGCGTCGTAGTTGTGTGGCGAGCTGTTGACATTTTTAGTCTTTTATATCTAACGCACAACCGGAAGCATAATCACCTCGCCTAGAGGTTTTCGGAAACAAACGACAACAAAACAAATCTTTTCAATCACACACAAACACACACACACACATACACGTTTTCCATATACGAATCCCCGTTATACTTTGATCGTATTATAAATAGGTGTCGCGGAATAATGTCTATAATGACATGTATATGAGTATATTATACATTACACATAATAGTATGTACTGCACCGCTGGTGGTGAGCGAAACGCGAGTTAAGTCGCATTGGGTCTCGAAAAGTCTTCAAAGGAAAGTCTGGAATACAGGTGGAGGTGGCGGAAGGGGAGGCAGTCGGTTATACATAAAATAATTATAACTACTAAACAAAGTATGCCTAGATTGGTATAAGCATTCTTGTTGTTATATATTTTTCATAATACAGGGTGATCAATCTTTGATAAGACACTCATTGTCTCAGAAAATACAAGGTACACGATTATAATAGAAATTATCTTTAGTTTAGACAAAGTTCCGTGTTTTTTTTTTTTTAAATATCTTGTTCATTGATGTATACATGTAGGTGTATCACTGTTGCTCACAGAATTTAATAATATTATACATATTACTATATAATATAATAACACGTAAGACTGCACTCCTGTAGTTATGTTGTATTATTGCTCATATATTATAATAAAAGAAGAAAAAATACAATAAATAGAGTACTTTAGAAACATTATAATATTTTGGTTAATTATTCTAGTTGGTACTTTAAGGAGGTCATTTTTTCATTTTTCAAAGAGTTTTCATAATAATTGGTAAAAATGTAGAAAAAATGAGAAAATGTTTGTAGTTTCAATTTTTTTTTTATTGTAACTTAGTTGAAAATGTTTGTTGAAACTTAAAATTTGAACAGAAATCTTATATTTGCTTTTTATAGACGTGATAAAATTGTCAAAACATTTGAGCCATTTTTGAGCTATTTATAGACATATTTTTGTTTTGCTAGTTTTTTTATGGAATATTTATTCGGTAGGTACTCTGTGGATAAAATTGTTAGGCAAACAAAAATGCTTAAAAATTTAACAGGAGATTTATTATAAGTTTTACTTTATGGTCAACAAGAAAAAGTTGAGTTTAATCTCTAAGAATTTTAGTATTTAATTTTGACGAAAATCGTAAATATTATGACCTTTTAAAACACATACAACCGAATTCCGTTTAGTATCGTTTTTCGTTAGCAATAATTATTCGTTGCATACAAAAATACATTAAATTCCCTTTTACATTCTTTCCCAATTTATCACCAACGGTGGCCACTGTGTGAAGTATATCCGTCTTTTTTGTAAATAGATATAAATTATAATTAGTTACTTTAAACGTATAATATTTTTTATTGTACGAGTTAAGAATTAATATAATGTATTAGCCAGGTACTATATTAATTTTGTTATATACGAAATTTATTGTTTTAATCCAGACTTTAATAGGTATAATTTACAAAGAAGTAATAATAATAATAATAATAATAATTTGAATAAACTGAATTAAAATTGACCTAAAAAGCACACGAATATGAGAGTGAAAATAATAATTTATAAAGGTTAATATACGAGTAGTTACCTATACACGCACAATTCATGATGATATTTTTTTACGATTCATATAAAATATTGCCTTTTAAAACTACTGTTCGGGGAATATTATCTCGTCCGATGGTCGTGCGATCATCGACATTAGTTACATTTTTAGATTTGTTTTTAATCTCTAAGGACTACTTGTGTGTTCTTCTTTTATTGATCGTTTACACCTTTAAAAAGTTTTTCGTTTATTTTTTAAATTTTATGGTTTTTCGTATACCTACTAAAATAACGCGCGCGTTAATGTCTTTGACTCGAAGTAAAATAAAACTAAGTACCTACCTACACATAATTTATAATTTCATAATTAAGCTGTTAAAATGGGTATAGAGTAGATGCCGATAATATCAAATGGGTTCTCAACTATATAATAAAAAATAAAATACCTATTTGGTGTACAAAATATTAGATTTTACTTAATTATTATAAGCGGCTGATTACGACGAGAATCGATATTATATAATTAATGTTTATAGGTATTTTTAGACGAAAATAACAATAATGTAGTTTTGATGAACAAATCGCCTATACAGGGTGATTTTTTTTTATCATAATTCAGTGGTGATAGATGATTCATCTACGAAGAATTTTTGATTACAGGTTTTTTAGCCATTTTAGAATTGGTTAATGATCTTTAATGTATATAATGTTTTCCAAATTGTATCTTTATTCCGTACACTGTAGCACGCATATCAACTTTAACTTCAAACTTATCTTTTCAACCCAGGTTTAACACTTATTTTGAACTTGACAGGAACAACATTGCTAATATGATATATGATAAATATCCTAAATGGATAAAAACTCACAGAACGAGAACACTTATTTAGCATATATTTATATTTATATTAGTTTATATTCTGTTAATGAACTGCAGGATCTTATTTAATAATCCATATTATATTTTGATAATTTTCCTTCATGCCATTTTTTTACTTAGTGAATAATTTAAATATGGGGGGGGGGAATAAAATACATATATCTAAAATATTGATCTAAAAACGTTGCTCACAAATTAAACAATTGTTACACCTTTACAAATAATGTATACGACTTATATAGGTACGACTGCGAAAAAAACAATTTTTTTTTTGATTTACCTTAATGCAAAGTATAAACTAATTAAATTTAAAAATACATACACTATTATGTCATTTAGACCAAAAATGAAAAGGAAACAAATTATATACGATAAAATTATAAAAATTAAAGAAAAAAAATCGTAAAAAATTTACTTAAGCTTTTCTTCCCTGAGACCAAGTTTTTTATTATGTAAATTATATTAATATAGTGTTTCAGTTTTAAGGTATTTGCCCATTCGATTCAATATTTAAGGAATTTAGTTACTCAGCTATGCATGTAGGACGCACCTATACCTATAATGAAATAATGAGATACGTGAGTGAGTGCGAGTATTTACATAATAACTCTTCCGATATTATATTATATAACATTATAAATATTTGACCAACACATGGTTTAGCGGTGTGCGTATAAAGGTTGTATTTACAAACAGTAATGGATTCGAGGGGGGAAGGGACAGCATTCCTCTTTTATACCTATAAGATATAGTAATAATATTCCAGTTCGAACCCCTTAAACGAGCTTCAGACAAACTCCTCGGTTGTACACTGACCGGGCATTGGATTTTATATTATTATTATTATAAACGAGGCACGGTATAAATTATTATACATACTTTTGCTATGTATCTAAATGATAATAGTAATATTTTGTTCACATAAATTATCATACGTTTCGCGCGGGGAGAATAATGCAATTCGTGTGCGGTGAATCGCCGGGGCGATGCGTGTTCAGAGATGTTTGTATATTTAGTAGAATACACAGGGTGGAATAAGAAAATAGTACTCAAATATATTATATAGAGTTTGTTAACTTTTTGTTGTAGCGTTTTTTTTCAATCAAACTATTGCTAGTATTTTTGATAAAATATGATTTGAGTAGAATTATCGCGAAAATGGATATGAACTATATTGTGTATCGATTTGTATTAAGAATTATGTGGTGAACATTGTTTCGAGTTATTAATAAATCAACCGATTTAAAAGGAAAAAATCTACAAGTAAATTCAATGTTCACAAATATAATTTGACATTGACGGGTATTAACTAGTTACGTTCATTTTTTTTTAAATATTTAACTTAACCGATTAAATATTTTTAACGTTACATCTAGTTTTTATTCTTTTTAAACTTAACTTTTTACAGTTAATTTTTTTAAGACATCCAGTTAAGTTAACGAGTTGAAGACGAATGATTGTTTTCGAAATCTTATATTACTCGACGAAATCTTTTTTGATATTTGTTAACTCGAGTACTCGACTATTTAACTCGACTTCGCCCGAAAGTATGGATATTAATCGATTCCATTCGATTTCGAAAACCAAAACTCGCTATATTTTATAAGTATTTCGTGAAACTTAAGATAAAATTGTGTTTAATTTTAGCGCTATTAAGTTGTGACCAATGTATGTTATAATAAATACATTTAAAAATAAGTATGTCGTATATTATATATATATATATATATATATATATATTTTTTTTTAACGGTCTGAGAGAGATAATCTAACCGCAACGCTCTCCTTCCCACCTATTAACTACGTCACTGCGTGTGCACTGTCGCGTTTATGTGCCGCAGCAGTCGTAATTCGTTGCGATTGTGCGTCGCGTGTTGTCATCACAGCTAGTGGTTTAAAATCAAAATTCGAGCGTATTCGACGACGAAGACATCGATGTCTCGTCATGCGAATAATAATAATATTATTATCGACTAAAGATTTTCTCGCGGGTCGTCGTGATGAGCGGCTGGTACGAAACGTTTACAGCAGACTATCGTATAACCCATTGCGAATCTCGCTGAGATTATGTACACGGAAATTATGCTTGCGTATAATCCTTTTCCGTTTGACTCGAGACTCATTACGCTGCGGAGACCGTTGGGGTATTCAGTTATTAATTTTCACGATATATACGTGAATAATAAATATACATATATACTTTGATCCCGCTGTTAGATCAAATAGAAATTATTCGGAATTAAATATAGGCATCGCTAAACACAGTAACACGCCAACATCATTGTTTTCCTCGTGACCGACCACCGTCGACCGACTGGACTTTATACATTTTAATAATAATAATACATTATTATGTCCTTGGTTGAACATTCCAGGTTATTGCGCTTGTATGTCCACTCTTATGCTGTGCATAAAAATTAAAAGTGGCAGCTGTAAGGGGGGGCGCTGTTATGTTTGATTCAAATTTCGTTGTTCATTTCCAATTTTACCGTGCAAATATGAAACATAATATGAAAAAATACGGTTACACTTCGCACAATGGGTTATAAATACGAAATTGGAGTGATAGGATATAAAAGGGAATGTAATGTACGCAACGATTAATCTTTGTTAACGAAAAATAATTCAGGGCGAAGTTCGGTTATACGTGTTGAAAGGAAGTAATATTTACGATTTGCGTCAAAATTTAATATTCAAATTCATATAAAAAAAAAATACTAAATTATATTCAAATTTTTCTAGTTGATCACTAAGTACAACTTATAATAAACTTCCTGTTAAATGTTCAAGCATTTCGGTTAGGTCTAATAATTTTATCCATTTATCCACCTACCGAATAAAAATTAAGTAAAAAACTCGCAAAAATGAAATATCTAGAAATAGCTTAAAAATGGCTCAATGATTTTGAAAATTTTGCCACGCCTAAACGGTAAATATAAGTTTTATGTTCAAATTTAAAGTTTCTACGAACATTTTTAACTGAAAATAACAAAAAAAACTAAATTGAAAATATTAAAAGCATTATCGTAAATTTTTCCATTTTTCTTACATTTTTTCCAGGTTTTTTTAAATTATCATAAAAACTGCTTGGAAAATCAAAAAATGACCCTTTTTTAGCATCAACTAGATAAAATTTCTTTTCAGAAAATGTGTTACGTTTGATACATCGAAGCAAGATTTCTGGTAGAATTTTTGTACTTAGTAAAAAAAAAAAATATCATCAAATACAAAATTAAACACCATTGTAAAACTAATACTTCCTTCGTTGCGCTCAGAATTTAAAATAATAGTAGAAATGGAAATTTGTAAATTATAAATACGAAAAATAAACTAAAATTTATGAGTTGTTTGTAGATATTGTAAATTTAATGTATATCTGTACCTAAGTAAATTTAAGCATTGCCAACAAAAAGCGATTCTGAACGAAGCTCGGTTAACAGTTTTGGTCAGGGGCATCTCCAAGTCAATTCCATGGAGGGGGAGAAGTGAATAGTTTTTACTCCTGAATACAACGGCTTTAATTAACAAAAAATTAAACAATTTATGTTTGATGTCATTTCAACTTATATTAGTTTAGAAACTGCAAATTTATTGTACAAATGCAGTAAAACAGTACAATTTAAAAGTTAAATTAATTTTTTTCACATTAAATAAATAATAATTAAAATAATGATAAAATGAATAAAAAAAAAAAATAATAATAATTAATAAAAGTTAGATGATCAAATCTAAAATACTTTTATTTTAAGCAGCTTTTTGTAAACGGTTTGATCAACAATATTTTCTATATTAATGTTGCCATTTCGATTTAAAAGGGATAAGACAGTTGGCCTCTGTTCAAAACATTTTTTTTTTACCACAAAGTAAGAATATTTATGAACCTCATATTAAATTCATAAGAATTTTTTTTTTGTCCAATAATTTTATCCACATAGTACCTATACCTATCGAATAAAAATTACGTACAATAGTCGCAAAATTAAAATGTCTATAAATTGTTCAAAATTTCGACCACATCAAGAAAAAACAAATATAAGTTTTCTGTCCAAATTTCAAGTCTACGAATAAGTACAAATATTTTTAACTGAATCACAAAAAAAACAAAATTTGAAATAATAAAAGCATTATTTTCGTAAATTTTTCCGTTTTTCTTACGTTTTATCCTGGGTTTTCCTAATATTATGAAAACTGCTTGAAAAATCAAAAAATGACCTTCTTAAAGTACCATTTAGTCAATATAAAAGTATTTTCTTTCAAAAACGATGCAACATTTACATATTGAAGCAATATTTGTGGTAAAAATTTTTGTCACAGTATAAAAAAAAAAAAAAACATTATTGTATATCCAATAGGTACATTTTTTGCTACACTTAGAACCTAAAATTTAAATTAAATTAATAATTTACAATTTTGATTCTAAAATCACTTATATTATTTTATTATATCTTTGAAAATTAATTGTTCCCACTTAGTTTTTCATAATTCTATCTTACCCTTGAGAGAATATTTATTGAAATTAATAAACGACAAGTGTTTCATTCTTGTTTCAATCAAAGTATTTTCAAGATCCGGAATCATCTTATGGTATTTGAAACCAGTTACATTTTAACTTATTTGTACTTAAGAATTATTGATATTTAGTATAACATAAAGAACATCACACGGCTTATGGAGTAAGCGATCGGATCCCTCGCTCCCCCCTCCTTTGGGATGTGCCTGATAATCATGACGTGGAAATATTAACATATAAAACTTTAGCTGAAGCCCTATCATAGTATTAAATAAATGTGATCCACCAAACTTTGCCTCTGCGTTCGAAGGCTTCAGACGATACAGTAGGGATAAGCCTTCTTGGCTCCTTAATTGTGTCACTGTATGGGATGACATGCTACATTCTTTACTGATTCGCTGACATGTCCCATCCATATATTATTAAAATCTAAGAGCAAGTCTTCAGACATTCGAACGTAGATATACACCGGCACGTTTTCAACACGTCAACTTTCACTATCGCGTATTAATATTAAAACCGATTTTATGTAATAAATCTGAAGCGTTTTAACTGATGCACGAAACAGGTAAATAGTAAATCACGACATAGCAGAAATTGGCGAAAAAAAAACGCTACTCCTCCTCCTGCGTTGATAAAGGTCGAACGTTATGCACCGGGGATTGTATTATTATTATTATTAGGTATAAACGAATCGAACCGTTAAGAGGTTGCTGTTTGTTGGACCGAGAAGAATATCGGATATTATATACGAGTTGCGGTGTGGTAGGTAGGTTGGTACCTTATAAAAGGGGACGAGGGACGAAGAGGAAGTTTTACTGCTCCCGGGGGTTTATACAAAGAATATTTATATATTATATACGCGTATTACGTATTATAGGTTATAGAGTCCCTGTTATTTCCGCCGCTTTTCGAATCCTTTGCGAGGATAATGAGCCAATTATATCATTTCCGGCGCGAAAAACGCTACTGCAGTCGTCGTCGTAACGCTGTGTTATTATTGTATAATAATAATAATAATAATATAAACAAAACTCTCTCTTTCTTTCTCTCTCTTACTCTCTCTCACTTTTTCTTAGCCTTTGCACGATATACTGCACACTGTAGCCTGCCCGACCGAACCGCCGCCACAGAGCCACCACTTTCGCCGTATTGGCTTATCCGTCCGGAAAACAAACTTTCCACCGACCGATTTCCACTCGTGTTTTATTATTTAAATACACACGCCCACCGAGTGAGAGCGGTGGTTGCTGTTATTATTACTACTGTAAAACGACGACTGATTTACCTTCTCACACACACATGCTCACTCTTTTCATAAATATATGTGTTTGTTGTTATAATAATAATAATAATAATATTACCTACTTACCTATATACAGCAACTACACAGCTATACATATTATTATATACGGTACAGGTAGGTACGCTGATTAAATTACCTAATATAGGTAATAGGTATACAAACAATAAAATAAACAATTATAATAATATACTTAAAACATGGAATAAAATATTGTGTAGGTAAGGTAGGTATATTATAATTGTATGGAGACAAATTTAACGTACCTATCATTTTCAATTAAATATTCGATTATATTTTCTGCGGTCGTATACAAATAAATAGTTTCATGCTGTGTAAAAGTACTCGACTAATATACGTATAGTCTTATATAATATATTACATATAATATTTACGGTTGAGATTTATAGTCAGAGACGTATTTTTGGGGTCCAGAGGAGGAATATTAAATCCAGGCGAGCAAATTCAAAGGGAACATCATAATCTTTTAAGACATTCTAAAATAGTAATATTGTATTATTATTTATCAATTTTGATCATTGATCACGATAAAAAAGATTTCATCGTAAATATTTTGATCTATAACAGATAATTTATGTATTTAAATTAACTTTTATTGAAATATAATCATGTTTTTAAAATATAATAGTTACACGTGGTTAACATTAACTTTGCGGTACCAAATGTGTACAGTACAATATTAGTACAAAATGTAAAGTGTGCAACTCGAAATTCCCACGTGATGTAAAAAAATTGTAGGTACTTATATGAGAGGTCACCAAAAATGTAAATAAATCACTGTTAATAACCTCAAAAACTATTCAAACAATGAATTCAAAACTCTGAAAATTTCACGGTTTATTTTTATTAGTTCTACAGTATGATTAGAGAGTGCGGGTTTAAACAGAAAATTCAACTCCTAAGGTGAAGCTCACGCAAGAAGTTTGTCTTTAAAATACAAAGATATAAAATTGTACTTTTAGATTCTAAGCGGAGGCAAATATATTGGTTTTACTATAATGAGTTCTTATTTATTTTAATTTAACTTTTTTTTTGTATCTGTAATCAACTTTTCTACCAGAAATTTAGCTCCAATCCAAAACTTTATAGAAACGTTCTTGTCGATTTTTTTTTTTTTATCAATTTTATGCATTGAGAAGGTCTTTCTTTTATTTTATTTTTAATATTCTTAATAAACAAGAAAAATTTGTCTGTATATTTTTTTTTTTGATTTCCGGATTACCTTGGCACACATGAAACAATACGACTAATAATAATAAATTGTTTTTTGTTAGCAATGGTTTATCGTTGCGTGTAGATATAAAGCAAATTACTCTATGTATCCCCGCTTCTAACTTCCCTATTAAAACAGTGGTTAACCAATTATCAATTGTTTCTACAATCAGACACGTTTTTATTTGTATTTTTATATTTAATCAATTTCTTATCTTAAGTTGATTATTTTATGTACAATTGTTAACGATTTTGTTTTGTTTTTTTTTCCAGTCAGTTTATTCAATCGTATTTACGTTTTCAACATTTTAAATTTTAAATTCTGTACTTATAATATAAATGCTATTTGTTACCATAAGTAGAAAACGCATTTAACATAATACAAACGTTCGGTTTTTTTCAACTAATTGTCATATTTGAAAAGGAAATATTTTTCGAAAAAAAAAACTTAATATGTTGTAATGATGAATGATGAATGAATAAATGATGACATGTAAAACACATGCCAATTATTAATAAGAACTTTAATAAGAGTACATAATAATAATTATTATAATACTCACTTGTAAGTTTAATGATATTATACCTACTAGTATGTGCCACATATTTTTTGTCATCATATTTGCAGAAACCAGACCCCAGGAAACCTCACGAAACCCATGATATAATATGTATAGGCTGTAGACATGTTATTATTTGTCAAATAAAATATTTTAGGTTATCAATGTGTCGACCCATTACCATAGTTTTACAGTAAATTAATAATTTAATGAAACGGGTATTGTCACACACGTGTCCGGACAGCGAATACCACGCGTCTATATATATCTACCTGTACGAAACACAAAATGTATAATTTACGAGACTATACATTTCCATTTCGATAACATCACGAAGTAATTTCCTGAAATATAAATTAGTGCCAATAAACTGTTTCCCTTTCAAACAAATTAAAATATTAAATCCTTATTAAATAAAAGATTTTCAAAATCCCTATATAGCACAATTGTATATTATTCATGCTATACATAATAATATAGATAACCCATATATTATAACGCGTTAATATAGTATCTTACTCTTATATGATAAATAATAATTGTATTTATTACATTTTCGCATATCTACAATGTAGATTCTACATGTCTGTACTGTAAAAGAGCTACACAGTGCACACGAATAATCATGTAAATCGGTTTTAAAACTCAAAAATCAAACCTAAGTCATTGTTTTTCAAAAGTATGATTTTGGAGATTTTGATAGTAGAACTAGATCTTATATTGGATTAAACTAGAAAAATAAAATACGAGCGTGTAACTATTGTGAGTGGAGATTTGAGAAGTTTGAGTACTTATATCTGTACGCAACGATTAAACATTGCTATCGAAAAACGATTCTATATGTACGACTAATCTTTATTTGTTTTCCTTATTCTCAAAGTAACAACATAGAAATCAATACACATTATTAAGGAATTGACAGTTATTCAAATTTATTAAGAAAACTACTAGGAAACCATATTCATAAAATGGCCGGATTTCTTCAATGTACTAACTGGATCAAAAATACTACAGGAGGTTCCTATAAATGTTTTGATCAGAACAAGATTTCTGGTAGAAATTTTATTTACGAATAAAAATTAAAATATACAGCATAGGGAAACACTCGGTTTGCTCATCAGAATGTACAAAAAACGTTTTGCTTTTTTTTGAAAAGTATTTGATTGATTGTAATCAAATTCAAAATCCTTCTAGTATGGCCAATGACGTTCAAAATCACGATTTTGGTTTATTAAATTCATGTCCTGCAGCAGCGGCTCATGCGGAGTAGTTACGGGATATTATTATTTCGTTGAGGGTGCGCCCAATAAACCAGGAAAACTCCGGCACATTACAACCACGTGCGTGTGTACTGTGGACGAAGAAACCACCCCGTTAGGAAGGGTCCTCGGGAGGGGGGAGGTGAGGAGGGCGAATAACAAACGATCACGTACAACATTCGTCGACGTTTTTGGCGCGCGGCGGTCTGCTCGCAACAATAACATACACACTATAAGCAAAGAGTCCCCACCATCATACACGTCAAAATGGCAAACCCGCGATTCGCAGTTGTGGACGGAGGA